CTCTTACTTCTTACTCCGTGTATTGTAGACGGGCCTTAAGACGGGCTTGAAATAAGACTCAACTATGAATACCGACCAAAATGTTGGTATTATGTTAGTACGCAAATATTTTCAAGCAATGATTTCTGCTATATACATAGCTTTTTATCATATTATTTTATTATATATAAAAAATCATTTAATTAATAGAAATTGTTTTATTTCAAATGTGCATTGTACATATTTCTGCTAGTTATTATACATTACATCAATCAGTATAATATTCCAGTACATTATATACTTTATTATAATATATACATAAGGTGTTTTACCTTAACAAGAATACTGAAATATATCGTAAATTGAATCTGATAGACAAAAATGTTTCAGACAAAAGTTATATGGCTTGAAGAAGGACATAACATGATATCATTAGTTTGATCTTGAGTGTTGTACTTGTTAAGGTTAGGGCTAGGGCACTTTAAATTTTTAAACAGAATACTCCATTTTTCATTGCATATTCATATAGCTTATCACGTTATATTCATAATCACTTTATATTCATAAAGCTTTTTTCAAAACACTATAATAAAATATTTTTTCATTAAATACTTTTCAATGTATAGTGATTAAAAGTTACAGTACCACTAGTATCAATATCACCTAAGGTGTCTAACTGAAGGTTAAAACTTCTTAAATATTGTTCAGAATTATGATTTAGATGATTTGGATGATATTTATCAAGATCAAGGCCATTGGATTTTGTTTTTCTTATTTTCATTTTGCACTAAAAGTTCATTTTAAAAATGAAAATAAGAAAAGCAACCTCCAATGACCTTGATCATGACAAATGTTATCCAGATCATGATCCTGAACAACATTTAAGAGGTTTTAGTTGTTGGTTAGACACCTTAGATAGTGACAATGCTGATGATATTGTAACCTTCAAGCATTATGACTCGAAAAGTATTTAATAAAAAAAAATGTATTATGTTTTGGAAAGCTCTCAAGGTAAGTTACGAAAATATGCAATAAGATATGAATTCCATTTAGAGATGTAAAATTACCGTCGAATTCAATTTGACAATTACTGATGGTAAAATGGTCATTTATTGATAATTTTGATAAAATTTGTTTTTTTTTAATGTAAAATTTAAATATTACTCGGGCTCTCAAAATTAAAAATTATAATAAAGTATATCGGGCAATAAGAGCATTAACATAGTGCGAAAATTGGTGCGCAATCAAATATTAGGTGTTGGACTTAATTCCTGCCGTTTTTCGTCTCCAAAATTGATTTGTTTCGAAGGGAAGATGAATGAATACCTTAATAAAAGTAATTTCCTCCATTTTCTACTTTATTACTAATTAATAATACTTTGATTAAGATATTTCCCTTCAAAAAAAATTCGATTTTGGAGACGAAAAACGGCAGGAATTAAATTCAACACCTAATATAATTATCTTATAATGTTTACATAATATATAAATGTACAATTATTGTCGGTACTATCTTATTTGAATATTTCGGTTTTCTTCAAACCATCTTCAGCAAATTTGTAGATCTTTATCGATATTTTCACAAAATATTGCAACAATGTTGAAATTAAACTCTATGTGAGACTGAGAATGAGCATATTGTTATCTAGATGGAAGTCAGACAATACATACATAACACATGTTATAATTTTAACATAAATTATAGAAATCAAAGCCTTAAACGGTTTAGCTGGATTTTAATGCTTGTATGATTCTTATATGAATTTATATGTATGTAGTCCTCAGAAACGCGCACCGAAATGATTTTTCGGTCTTGAAACGCTAACTCTATTAAACTACCGCAGTAATATCACGAGTTAAATTGACTGGCAATTTAACAAATTTTTGATGCTTATTCGCATCTTCGAAACGATCTTAATAACGTTGAATAACATATTAAAATCTGTAAATAATTAATTCTTATTGCGAAAAATATTACCTCGGCCGGGAGTCGAACTCGGATCTCTTGCATTTCGTGCATAAAGTTTTTAACTGCAGAATATGTCTATATTATACAGGGTGACCCATTTTAACTTAGACAGCCAAATAACTCGAAACATCGCGATTAAATAAAAACATGTTTA